CCCCCCCCCCAGTATTACGGACGCGGTTAGTAATAATCTTAAATAGCACAGAAAACGAGCACCTGAGATGAAGGCCTGGAAACCATTTCCCCCAGTGTCTTCAACCTTGTTGAACAGTATCAGTAACCCGTATCAGCATACCCATTACGCGGTTGCATCAGTGGCTCTAACGACAGAGCTCAAACAAACTCTGCAATAGTTTACTGAATGAGTGATCCAACAGGCCAGTTTTATTCGTATAGTGTCATAGAAAAATAGGTCCAAGTTGTCGAGGGGAACTTTGAGATAAAAGGATTTTACTTTTCCCCGCAAACGACGTCTCTCACGATTAGAAGACGCTCCCGGTAGAGTGCGATAAAACACACAGGGAGACTTGTCATTCCTGCTAGCTTCATCCATCAAAATTGGTTTGATCTCCATTTCACTCTCTTTTGCACTCCCAACGCCCTCATTCTCTGTTATTATTGTTGTTCTTCCTCTTTTCCTTTCCTTTTACTTTCTTCGATTGAATATACAAAGAGACAATCTTCAGGAAGGAGTAAGTGGACAAACAAAGGACTGTCATTCAACACACAATGTGAAAAGTTAGGCGGCCGTGGTGGTGGGATTCGAACAAATCCCCGGGGTGATAATTCGGTGACGCTACCACCGGGACACCACAACCACCGCCACCTCCTTTGCATGAGAATATAGGAGGATTTGATTCACCCGACGAATTCCCTCTACGAAATCGAATCAAATCCTCCTATACTCACATGCAACAATTACCCATAACCACAGACGCATGGTTATTGGTTGTAAAAAACTGAAACTGAAAACGGACGCTAGTGCTGAGATGAGCGAGGTGCGATGCTCGGAACAAGCTCACAGAGATGGGTTGTGCCGTATCGTGTAGATGGAAAATGAGAAATGGTCTCATCAACTGTTGATAAAATATTGAATTTTGGTTCTCGTAGCTCGGGTGAACTCAATTACATCTGGCCTGTTCGTCGAGCTTGACAATTTGTTTGCAAACATTTCATCACCAGCCGAGGTGACATCATCAGTGCTTGTGAAGTGGTCTCATCAACTGTCCCAGGGTTGCCGAGTAGTAGGTAGTATGTTTGCGTTCTGCCAGTGATGAGGATCTGGGTTCGCGAGTCCCAGTTGGGCTGATCAATT